CTTGATAGGTATAACTGATTACGATCTGTCTCTTATACACATCTAGATGTGTATAAGAGACAGGCAACAACGTAACAATACTAACAACAGCAGCAAAGTAGTCTGGTTTTCAGAAATTATTTGTAATCATGGGTGAAAACCCAGCAAACATCCTTTTTACGAATAGTTGATATTACAAATGACCTTTGCCCTTTGCATCATCGACCAAGTAATAACGTCAAAATGTCTGATTGCGTACGTTTTTCAAAGTGATAATGTATATTATTCTTAATAATAAAATCGGATTTGTTGTATTTATTTATTGACAATTCAATTAACGCCAGTCGTTAAAATGAGCGATGACGAAATAAAAAAGTGTGTTGAAGTCAGCAACTTATTTGACACAGCGAAGCTAGATTTTCGCGAAGTGCATGTAAACAACACAGTTGATCGATCTAAAAACTACATAAAAAAAAACATGACAGAAAGGTCCATAAAGTATACAGACGCTGTCTCTTATACACATCTAGATGTGTATAAGAGACAGAATTATGTTTTATGCTTTCTCCTCCGCATTCAATACCATCGAACCGCATATTTTAGTTGACAAAATGATTATCATAAATATTCCTTTTAATTTAATCTGCTTAGTTCTTAATTTCATTACTAATCGTACTCAATATATTAAACTCAGTAATGATGTAAAATCAGATACTATAGCTACTAACACAGGTTTTCCACAGGGAACAGTGTTTGCTTCATTTGGTTATACATTATATATATCGGACTACAGGTCTTCACATGAAAGTGTACCCGTTATTAAGTTCGCTGATGATACAGAAACAATTGGTCTAATTAGAAATAATGATTTTTCTAACTATTATAATGAAATTGAAAGATTCGTCAACTATTGTGATGCTAATTATTTACAGCTTAACACAATGAAAACTAAGGAAATGATTATCGATTTCGTAAAAATAAGCCACTATTAGATCAAATTATTATTAAAGGTACTGAAATTGAGCAGGTCAAGTCATATAAATATTTAGGCGTAATATTATATAACACTCTCACATGGGATGATTGTCTTCGTAAGCTTAGGTCTTTTAATGTGTGCAGTAAAATTTTAGGTATCTTTTATAATTCTGTAATTTTAAGTGTCTGGAGCTATTGTATTGTGGGTTGGGGAGGAAATATATCTAACTGTGACAAGGAAAGAATCAATCGTCTGATCCAAAAGGCCCCCCCCCCCACGTCGGGGACCTCGGCCTCCTCGTCGGGCAAATCCTGACGCCACCCCTGATACCAAGAGATTTAACACCATCGAGTTCAACAACCTGATCAAAGCCCATTTCATTAAGTTTGTTATATAAAATTATATAAACTGTATAAAATTCTTTTTTAACATAAATAAGAACCATACCTGCAAGATTTCTTTTATTAGCCTCAGTTCAAATCATTTTGTAGGTTAATAAGACTGGTAGCAGTGGAAAAGTTACCCCTAAACCCAAGAGTTCAGTATCTAATAAATAAGAATTGACATTGACTACCAGAGGCATCTGGATTGAAGTTGACGACGGAACTCTTGCATTCTGCCAATCTTTTTCTGGAAGTCTTTCATCCATTCTTTCATATCAGTCTATAGAACCAACAATAGCTTGCTAGAAAAGGTTATCATCATCAACCTGTTTTTACAAATATTTGGTACACAATATTATATAGAACTACGGTTGTTATATTTTCAAATACTGTAATTATTTTAGTAGGAGTTCGTTGAAACTAGAGAAACTTTGTGGCAAACAGTATCAATGCAGATAACAATCCAAGTCTTGACAACATCGGGAAAGAACCACGAAGCTTTGAAAATGACGTGTTTTCAGTTGCACAAGAAGAAAAAAGTTATTTATTATCAGTTTAAAAAAGAGAAACCTCGAGACCGTTGCGCTGTTCATTGTCTGGAGAGAAATAACCGATACCTTCACTGTTTGTCGGGAACACTACATAGTCTTTCTTATCATTATAATTGGATGAAATGAAAATAATGTTCGGTTTAAATTATTTATCTTTAAAAATAGCACAGAAAAAAAGGTGAACTGAACTTAATTTAAATAGAATCGTCTTGAACCAGGCAACACAAAATGTAGAGCCTTTTTGTTCTACAATGGTATGATGCAGTTTGTATAAGGACTCATTAGAAAATTGACAAGAACCAGGTGTGCTGCTCTGCCGTCCTCAAAAACATTTAAGTGATAAGCCTATATTTGGAACAATAACTCTCATATAATAATTAAGCTTTGTCAAAACAAGCTTGTGTAATTTTATATCGTGTCATGATGGACAACAAATTCTGATTACATTGAATCATTTAAAACTGTTACTACTAATATGCTATTAGTCAAATGGAACAAAATAAGCCTATTGGTGTGTTACTTCAAAATTAAACAGGGTTTTTAGTTGTGAAAGGCTTAATCTTTATAATCGCAAAATGGTAGTCAGCAACAACATACGTGTTGTCGAAGAAATATGTTTGTTTTCCAGTGGTGGCTTAGCTCTTTTTATTTTTGTAACTATTTTCATTATAGTATGAAACATTTTAGTTTT